AAGCTAATAAAGCTTCTCCTTTTTGGAAACTTTATTAGCATTGCCTGCTCATTAAAGGTACTCAACAAATGTTTGTTAGCTAAGTGAATAATAATAGTTTTAAAATAAGAAACAGGAGGGGCCAGGGAGATGGCTCAGTAGGATAAGCGCTTGACTGGCAAACACAAGGATCAATAAAATAAAATAAGAAACAGGCCAACTCCCTCCTCATACGTTCATGACCCACTTCCGCTTTCCTCATTTCCTTTCCCGTAGCTCCTCCCACCTTCTCATTAGTTCATGTGTTTGCTCACTTTGGTGGTTGGCTCTTTGCAGTGTCCCTAGTGCTCCGAGCCCTGCTCGTGATGCTGGGTGAGGGAATCAGTGAGACTTAAAGCCAAGGCCAGCTTTGCCTTGTTTCTTGGGTTATTGTCACTGATTTTCGGGGTAAAGGACAGTGTGATAGGAGGATTAGGGAGAAATGTAGGGAGACCTTGAAGTCAGTTTCTGTCACTCTGAACAAGTTTCCTGACACTTCTGATGCTTGTTTCTGAACCTGTTAAAGGATAACATGACCCAACTAACAAATGTTTATAGAAGGATTTGTTTAGGGAAAATACATGTAATAGAGTTAATAGCTGCTGGTCCTGATCATCCTGAAGTGTCAGACTTTGTGCTGTGTGCTTTCCATTCCTTATCACTGTGTTTTGCAAGCCATCCTGTGAAACAGAGGATACTCCATCCTATGGGGTAAAAGAAAGGTCCTGCCCAAGACCACACAGGTCCAGATGGCACAATATCTGCCCCTCTGTCCCCAGTGCTGGTGACTCTTCTGCCTACTGTGTGAGCCCCTCCTGGTGAGGGGCTCAGCAGAGGGCTGTTTGATATCTTCTGTGGAGAAGACATTCTAGACCTTTCCTTCCTGCCCTAACATGCTTGAGGGATACGAGGTGCCCCCAAGTACCATTGCCTTGGGAGTGGTCTAGATATAAATGCTTGAAGGGACTGTGATTCTGCTTTGGGACCTTTCCCCACCTAAATTAGATCCCTGTCCCCCAGCCCTCCTGTTAAACATGCCCTACCTCCCGGTCAGTTTGGCATTCCACTCTCACCTCCACTCCCTACTCCACTGTTATGGTTTGTGTATAGGTGTCCCCCAAAGCCTCATGCAGTCTTGGGGAAGCTTCTGGAGTTTGTGATTGATTACTGTGGGTGGGATGCTGCACCTGCCCTGAGGCAGGTAATGTGCATTACAATGTAAGGTGGGAAGAGAAGCTAGCTGCTTGAGCTGCTGCTACCTCTCCCTTGTGCTCTTGCTCTTTGTCACCGCCATGAAAGGTTGTCCTCTGCCATATGCCACTCTGCCTTGGAGCCAGCTGAGTGTGGACTGAAACCTCCAGTAACTGTGAGCTACATAAACCTTTCCTTCCTTCAATTTGTCTGTTGGGTATTTGTCCCAGCAAGGAGAGAAGAGTAACTAAGACATTCACTAAAATAGAGCCTGTAATTCTTGGTATTTTCTACCACAAAGATAAAATATTCCTGTGTTAAGACTTTTAGAGGGCTGGAGAGATGGCTCAGTGGTCTAAAGCACCTACTTGAAACAAGTTTGGCAAAGCACAGGGACCGCGGTTCAATCCTCCAGCACCACATGCCAGCCAGCCCGCCCCCTGGTGGGCTGAGCTGGCCACACACACA